CACATCCAGAGTGATTTTCAGCCTCCACTTAGCTTTGAAGATGCTTCCATTTGAAGCCTGAGGAGAATGTGTGTGAATGAAAAACACCATTGTTGGTGCTTCTTTCTCCAGATATATTTGCTAGTCTAATAAAAGGTATGACCTCACTCAATAAATCCTCATTTTTGCTTCCTCTCCTACCAAAACAGGCTGCATTTTGTGTAGATTTTTCCAGAGGAATCACTTCAAAGATTGGCAGTGGTTGCTTCTGCCAGCGCCGACACGTTTTGCAGGTTTATGGTCTTATGTCCCAAAGTTAATTACTTTTAGAAGGGCATGGCTTTCTCTAGCTCCAGGTGAGGTTTGCCTTCACTGACTGCTTGGGAGTGGGGGAGTGGTTTGGGGCCGAAAGAACTCAGCCATCCGTTTTCAAAGAGGGAAGAGGCCAACAGAAGAGACAAGAAAAGGTTAGTGTGGCTTTTGTGCACAATATAAAAAGCAAGTCAATACCATTGTAGGGGCATTGGAGGGTACTCAAAGCAATCAGTCAGGGGCCATTGTGTTCCCGTAATCTACATGTGTATTTCCCAAGAACTCTATTAGTGAAGATGAATGAACTGTGCAATGTCCCTAATTTCTTCTAATTTGGAGCTGGGGTTTTACAGCAGTCACAACCAGCACAAAACATGCCCGTCCTTCCAGAAGCCCTGGGCAAATTTGGGAATAATTTTTGCTTGTAGAAGAAGGATAGCAAGGTGAGACGAAGGTGCAAACCCCTTTAGTCAGTGCCATGAAGGGCACTGGATTCTGGCACAGATGCTGCTGTTAGGGTGTCTGGCAAAATTGGCAGTTACAGGGGCAAGGCTCAATTTTTTTGCTGTTAATCACAGTGTGAACGTTCAGCAAAAGAACCTTCCACCCTTGAAGCAGGGTGCATGAGTCCCACACAGGACACAAGAGACCTTCCTCCCTAACAGAGAAGGATCCTCTTTCCTCAGCAGTAGACTACTACAGCTGTATTTTCCATATGAAGCTACGTTTGTCACGGGAGCATCCTTCTTGCAGGGGAGTGGAGCTGCTGAAAGAGGAAGCAACTCCCTTGGTCCCAATTCGAAAAAAAGGCCTGAAAAAACCCCATAACCCTGTAGCAGAGCAGAGAGAGCTCTGACTCTTCCAGCTCCAAATCTGTCTTTTCTCTCTTGCCACACTTGAGGCGCAGGCAGGCATGTGAGGCATCACGGTGCTGCGGGGAGGGAGGAAGTCTAATGGTTCTCTGATAACAGAATTTAGAATGATGAAGAAAGGTAACTGGACATTTCCCTTTGGGTTTAACGTGCTGGCTGTCAGTTGAATCCCTTACTGCCACAGAGTCCCCTGGGACCTGTGTCATGTTAGTGTGAACCCTCAGAAACTTATCTATGGTACCTCACAGCTTCACAAAAACGGTTTACTTTTGGAAGGAAGGGGCAATCAGAATCAAATTTGAGTGTTAGAGGCTGAAAGGGACAGGATTTATTACTTGCCTTTCCAAGAGATACTCTCCATTCCATCAGCTTTTTTTATTTTTTGGCAATATATTATTACAATTACTGCTGCAATTATGCTTGGAAACTAGCAAAAGTTCTCGAGATGGACAGTCTCTAAAGTGCAGCTGTCTGCTCTACCTCCTTCCTGCACATGCATATAAAGACTAAATGGGAACAGTTTTCATCCTGTTGGTGCCGTTGAGACATATGTGTGGGACGTGGCTTCACACAATGAAATCAGCACCATAACATGCCACAGATTCTTCCTTTGCTCCTGCCTTTTCCTTATATCAAGCTGAAATATTTACTGCCTTGACAGGGCAGACATTTGAAGCTGAAGTCACACTGCAGGTGGGACATCACTCTCTAGGCCAGAGATGTGCAGCAGAGAGCACCTCTCTGAAAGATAAATGGGGCTTCCAGGGTCAGACAGCAAATCAACAGGGGGGAAGCAAGGTAAAGGGAGAAATATTCATCCAGAAGTCCTCTTGCAGTTTGCATGCTCTGTGTAATCCAACAGATTGTTCAAAACAGGAAAAAAAGGCTTTGCTTTTTTCCTCCCCAGAAATTCCTAGGTGTGCAGTTTAAGAACCTTCTTGAAAGCATAGTGCCCAAGGAAGCTGCTGTCGCTGCATTGCTTGTGCCTTGCTTTTTTTTTTCTGGGCAGATTTTTCTTTATCTGCCCCAGTTGTGTTTTCTCCATGGCCAAAGTGCTCTTTGGCATGCAGGAATCACACAGAGAGAGCCTGCTGCTCCGGTGTCTGTCTGGGCTGTGGGTATGGAACAGGCTGTAGCTGCTCTGGGAGCTGGGCAGCCTTTTCTGGTGGGAGCACCGTGGGCTGGGTGTGAGGGCTCCCACATTCAGGCTCGCCGTGCTCAGCCATCCCTCCAGAGGGAGGGAGTGCAGGTTCATGCTATAAGGCTATATTAATGCAATCCTTCTTTACTTGTTTTCCAATTAGCCTAATTGAATTCAGATTGCTTAAAAGTGGGCACTAGAGACATTTATCTTGATGGGATGACGGCCTTGAGCTCCAGCGATCCTATTAACTGTAAGAACCCAAATCCCAGGTAGGGTCCATCCAGCAGTAGCTCCCATGTGACCTAACAATTTAATCTGCTCCTGTTCTGTCCAGCGCACACACAGACACACAGACATGTCCGTGTCCATGCTCACACGTGCATAGGTGCGTGCACACATGTACACGTGCAGTGGCTGTGCCTTAAGGCCCCACTGTGCCCCACTGTACCCCACTGCTCCAGTGCCCAGCCCGATGCCCCCCCAGGCCAGGTGCAAGCCCTGGCCCCAGCACCCCAAGGAAGTGCTGTCTGAGTGTGGGATCAGGGCAGAAAGCGATACCTGCTGCGGAATAGCCCCGCTCTGCCACTGCACACTGAGGGGGTGTGAGTCTGTGGTCTATCAGTGGTGCCTAGGGCAGCCCTCTCCCCTGACAGCAGCACTTCACAGGGCTCCCATCCCACACAGCCCCCAGCCACCTCTCAGACCTGCTTGCCTCTGCCAGCCCTGACATTTTTTTGGAATCCCATTAATCGCTTGTTTGGTGATTCTGACTGTACTTTCTTCTCTGACCCTTTAAACCATGAAAATGCTGATCCTATATCTGCTGACGAATTTAATTAGATCCTTTAAACCACCAGATGCTTTCAGTAAAATTTTCAGGATGTCCCAAGAACATTTTAATTCAAAAGTTGAAAGCCTTAGGCTTGTTTACTTTGGTGTCTTATAGATAAGACAATTCAGTCTGTAAAGCAGCAGAACTGTGCAGACACAGCAGCCAGATTTATACCAATGCTGAGGGAACACCTGCCACCTGTCCCTTTCCCTCAGCTGGCAGCCCCAGCGTCGCTGATGATCAGCTTGAAATACTAGAAAGGATTCCAGTAGCAAATAGGTACAAGACATACAAAGAAATATATTTGCCTAGATTAATAAAACACAGTCTGTATATGATGAACACATAAAGCTGCACAGTGCCCTCTCTGTCCTTTTGCAGACATGGAGGTGGATGCCATTGTAACCATCGATGATAATGAGCTTTTTAAAAGTAGCTGATTTTCTCTGGCCTTTTCCCATGTCATACTGTCTGTGCCAGTGCTGCAGCAGAAGGTGGTGGAGTGGCCCTCCCTGGCCATCTTGGCACCAGCACCTGCTGGAGCAGGAGGGGAACCTCTCTCCCTTGCCCTCCTCTCTGCCTCACTACAGAGGTGACTTGGCCAAAAGGGAGAATTTTTCCTCCTGTCCCAGTGTGGACAAAGGGGTAAAAAGAGAGAGAGAAAAGACAAAGAGAAAAGGGAGGGAAGGAAGGAAGCAAGCAAGCAAACAAGCAAGGAAGCAAGGAAGGAAGGGAAAGAGAAAGGAAGGACACAAACCATACTTACTGCATTTGTTAATTTAAAATTAATATTTTTACTTGGTTAGGTGGAGACAGAGAGAGACAGAAAGAGACTTATAAACCTGTAGGAAGGTGCTACATGTATTCATTTCCAAATTTATTTCACAGGCTAGCTCTTGGAGAGGTTACAAAGTCCTTCCTTTTATAAATACCTGAGCCCCTCAGGAGCAGCATCCTGCCTGTCCAACAGCCTCAGTCACATTTAGCACAAGTGAAAGCCATGCTTTTCCTCAGGGTTTAGGTGCCCTACCGTGGCAGAACCTTCCAGCTGGGCCAGATTTATGTTCAGATTTATGTTTGATGGAGGTGACTCCCAGAATCAAGGTGGTGAGCTCGTTCTAACCTGTCCAAGTTTGGTGCTGGTACCTCAGGCCCAGAATTTGGCACACAGAGCAGCCAGGCAGAGTCACTGCTGTCCCTCGACGTTTGAACTGCCTTGCAAGACTGAGAGACTGGGAAATGAAAGCAGGCTGGAGAAACCTGCACTGCTGCAGAGCAGGGCTCACTGACAGCTCCCAAGCCTTGCTTTCCTACAGGTCCCCACTCAGGGTTACATGTGACAACACTTTTGTCCCAAGCCCTTGAGTTACACGCTTCGCTTTTTGCATTTTGCTACATTTAGTGCAGAGATGGTAAAAAAAAAAATCTTTCAAGTTTTTGCAGCAAATGTCAGCATTTGAATACTGTGTTTGTTTCAAAATGTTTGAAACAGACGTGTTTTTGTAAGAAATATATGCATTTATTTCTGAAAGCACTATTAAATGAGTGATTACCTATATGTGATGTATCAGAATTACAATTTTGACAAAAAATACACATTTAATAGCATGGAAAAAGGCACATTTTTTCCCCAATATTAAGTTCTTTTGAGCCATTTTTTCCATGGGGAAAAATGTTATGTTAAAAATGGGGATCACTTCTAACTTTATCCTAGGCAGTCACAACACGTAAATGTTCCCCCTCCCCTCAGGGTTTTAAGTCTCTCTCTGGTCTCTTTTCTATGTTTATGTTGAGTGCTCTAGAGCTAAGTGCATCCCTCTGCCTGCCCTCACTCTGCAGTCCTGGCCAGACCAGACTGAAGTCACAGCCCTTGGGTGGTGGTGGCTCTCCTACATGACAGCACATTTCTGCTCGGCCGCCTGCTTCATTTCAGTGAAGGTGGCTTGTGCCTTTTCTTTGATCTGATCCATGTCCATATTCTGGATGTTCTGCAGCTGTCCCAGGATGGAGTCCTTGTCCTCTTCCTCCTCCTGATCTTGTGCCACCATCTTCTGCAGGTCTTCTGGCAAACCCACGTCGTCTCCAGCCATCTGTATTTGATTCTCATCCAATTCACTCTGATACAAAAAGCAGAAAATAAGAACAGCACATGGGGATTTTTAGGTATCAGTACTAAACTGAAGCCTTCTGGAGGAAAGATGCATGAAATTTAGGAAAGAATTGCTGGTAGTTAAAGGTAAAAGGGTCCTCATCTCCCTGAACCATGTCTAAACTCTGTCTAGGTCTTTGGTTGGCCTCTCTGAGTTGTGATGAAGGGCAGGGGCTGCCTGGCACATAATCAAAGCAGCGTTGGAGTGCTGGTTAGTGGGGTAATAGGAGGACTTGGACAACAAAAGAGAGGATGGAGGTTGGGTGTGAGTCTGAGAAAGCAAAAGGAGACAGGAGAAGGAACTGGTTAAGCAATTAAAAGGGCTGAGATGCAGTAAGCACTACACACACTTGCTTCCTGCCTGCCCCCTGAAACGCTCCATCAGTGGGGCTGTGGCAATTTTTCAAACAATGGTGATTTTGTTCACGTTTTATGGTGGATTCTGATGGATCCAGTGCTCAGAAGAACAGGATATTTTGACACAGTTCACACATCAAAGATAAGCATTAATGCCTCATTACATCTCCAAAATGAAGCATGACAGCAGCAAAGGCCTGATACGAATAAGCAGCAATGCTATCAGCAGGAGGTGTTGTTGAGAGTGAGGGGTCTGGGGTTTGCATGAATGAGTGCAAGAATGAATGGAAGGATGTACATGAGCAATGTGTCGGTTCAGGCCTCAGCCAGGACAAGCAGACGGGGGTGATCAACTGCATAGACACTATTTGCTGTGATGTATTTGTCCAGCCTTATGTTTGCAATAACTGTACTTCCTTTAACCTGATTTCTCCCCATATCTCCTATGAAATTATGGAGAGCTCTATCAGGATTGTTACTCCTATGTGGCTAAAATGGGTGAGGCCATCTCTTCATCCCTTTGGATAAGGGTTGCTGCTGTCAGATCTGTGGGAGCAAGAAGCAATATCCCAGTCAGCAGAGTTTTCCTTTATTGATTGTGTAGCAGGAAAAAATGTGTTAAGCTTTTAATCAGCAAGTGCTGGCTATGAGAAGAGTTGGCCCTTTGGAAATCCTCCCAAGTAGCAGTAGAGGATGATAAAAAAAGATACAGTTCTAATTACTGAGAAGTGCCCCTAAGCAGACAATCACACGTGTTCTTTTCTTTAGAACTATTTATAATTTAAGACATCCTCACTGCACATACCGTAGTGATTTCACATCTTTGGCAATGTGAACAATTGTCTGGCATGTTTTTGCACCAAAGCCCACTGTCCTACTTAAGTCTGGGATGTGATGCACAGCAGCTTGAAGGTTCCAAGTGTTCCCTGACCAGAGAAGAACATATTCAGATATGGTCTAAAGCAGTACAATTCTGCCCCAGTCACCTGCCTCTACCCACTTGGCACTGAGCTTGTCCTTGAGCAGTCCTAGAATGAGCTTCAGCAGAGTGAGGTTACTCAACAAGAAGCAAAGAAGCACGTAGTACGTGTATGGCCTTTCTTCTAAAATTTGACAGATTTGATTATTGTTTCCTTTCATTTGAAACGGACATGTAGGATTAAGTTTCTGATTTTATCTTTGGGGGGGTTTCAAGTCTTATGAAAAAAAGTTAAAGCTTGCTTTTTCCTAAGGAGAGATTTTCCCAAGGGCAGACCTGGCTCTGACAGTGACAGAGACACTGCCCTGCATCAGAATACACACAGAGCACCCAAAACAGGGAGAGCTCCTGGCCAGAGAGAGCCCACACAGACAAGCCCTGGGGGCCCTGGCAAACTGCACTGGACTGGAGGGTGTCTCTCCTGATGCCTTCAATCTTCACAGGCTGCAGGTCTCTGCAGATGTTCAGCCACCCTTAGAGGATCTTTGAGAACAGAGATGCAATATCTGTTCTAGGAAATGAAATGTGCCTGGCACTGGTGTCCTGCCCCAAGGCCAGCTGGACTGGAAACCCCCCTGAGATGCCATTGAACTCTCTCGCCCTCCCAAACAGGGTGGTCCCATCTAACTGCCCATTGGGAATGCCTGTCCTAACTCCCAAACTGGCCCTGGGAACTGCTTGGGAGAGTGCCCAGGCCAAAACTGGGTCAGACATTATTCTGACAATTCAACAGCATAGGCCATAGAGTCCTGGTGCGTGGTAATATTTTTTGACCCTGATTATGCATCTGATGGAGTCAGTCTCAGATCTGTTTTGTTATAGATGCAATATAATACAGAGTTCTTCACATATACATGATACACAGGTAGGTGTGAGGGGAAAACAGTCTAAATAGCTGCTTTATTACAATTTGATTTTCAAGTCCTCTGTCCAAATTAGGTGCAGATGAGACCAAATGCCAGTTCAACAATACCGACTTTATTTTGTAAAATTGCATGTGTAGGAAAATGAGACAAATAGGTACAGGAAGCCACAGGTGGAACCAGCAGCCTTATCCCTCACAAACACTCTGTTGTGCCACCCCCACACAGGGACAGTCTGGAGCAGAGATGGTGTGAGGGGACTGCTGCCTCCTGCCAGCGGCGTTGGGACTGCGTTCATCCACAGCTCACCACCAGCTCATGGCTCTGGGTCAATCCCAGTGCAGGAAAAAGGCAGTAAGTGCATAAGAGAGTTTGGTGGGTTGGTTTGTTTGTTTGCTTGCTTGGGTTTTAAATAAAAATATTAATTTATGTACTTATATAATTTTTTTTAAAAATGTGGTTTGTTATGAATGTCATGCGTTGAATACTCCAAAGATGAAAAAGTTGCCCACAGATCAAATGTCTCATGGCTAAAAACATCTTTCTGATGACAAATCTAAGTTGACAACTCTGTTAATAGGATTAGGTTCATTAAGGGTCTACTTTCTCTTATAAATCTGGCCCAGATAGCATGGAGCTTTAGATTTTACACTGCAAAGGGGGCCCTGCTTAGTTCTGAATTTCATGCATTCATTTCCAAAGTGTGCTAATGATCAATACTGGTAATATTCAGAGTTTCTAGCCCATACTAGGCTATCTGAAATGACTTTCAGTTTTCAAAATAACTAATGCATTATCATAAGTCTGAGAGCATTTTGCTGCCAGAGTGTTGTATCACAGAGTTGGTTTTTTTTCCAGGGGCATTTGGCGTCCATGTAATAATTTCATTTTCTTCCTGATATAATGTACGTTTTCATAAGGGCTGATAAAAACCAAGAAATGCTATATGGGAAGAAACAAATGCAGAAAAAAGCACATCCTGCAATATTATTTGCTGGCTTAGAGCTACTCTTCTACCTTGGAGGCAAGTCTTCTAGTGTTATTGCTGGAATTTGTCCCCAAAGAGCACTCAGTTCATGGCAAAGCCAAGGTCCTGCTGGAGATGGGGCAGATCACCGCTGTGTGCTCGTGGGGGGTCTGTGGGCACCTCAACACCATCTCAGCTGAAGAAAAGCACCACAGGTAGGTGGGAGACTTTCAGAATCACAGACACCCAGCTCTGCTGATGTTCAGTTGAGAGCTGAGCACTTCAGGATCCCAAAGCTTTCCAAACAGGCCCCTCTGGGATTTGAAAGCTGTGGCGAGGTGACAGGTAAGTGCTGTCCAATAGCCATCCCAGCATATGCCTCCAAAAGGACAACAAAGCCTAATGATATTTTACTGCTCAGCTGCTAATTAAAATGCTGGTGTTTAGAGATTTAGGCCTACAATCCAATCAACCACTTAAAATCTTGTACTTAATTTTTTTGCATAATTAATCTTTCTGTAATTAAACTCACCCTCAGGATGTTTTCCATCTCCAGCATTGGAAGAAATGGGCTCTTAAGGGTGGAATACATTTTACCTGACTTCAGCTGTCACCTGGCCTCCCTCTGCAAGAGGGACCCAACTCCACCTGAAATGCTTATTTGAAAGTTGGGATAGATGAGGCTGGGAGTGCTGATCTCTTTCTGTTGATGGCAGAGTCCCTAAATGACTTGCTTGGGTTAAGCACCCAATTTTTTAGCAGTTAAACTTACATGAGATGGATTCTTTAGTAGAGAGTGATCCTTGTTTGTATCCAAGTGTTTTATGTCAGGAAAAAGCTGGCAATCTAAATGCTGTCTGTGGCTCCCGTCATGATCCAGAAGCTATTGCAGCTGCTGCCTGCTTCTAACAAACCTCCAGAGTTCTCTGGTGCTTTCTATATTTTGCATTTCCTGGGAATACTTGACAAACAGAATCAGGAGCACCAAAGAAAAAGGAATGGGCAGTTTGCTTTTGTGCTTCTTGGGAGAAAGTACAAATGAGCCTTCAGAAGGTTAGCAGAACTCAAATGTAGACCTTGTACAGGAGTTTTCAGGGACTTTGCTTATGTGCTTCTAGGGTTTTTTTCAGCTCTTGAATGCTGCCAAGTTAAGAGTGTATGCTAATGGTGAGGAGAGGTCAGAGCAGATCCTCCCCTTGCCTAGTCACCTGTTTCAGATCTGAAAGGATAGAGAGGGATTACAAGAACCTTTCTATTAGATTCATCTGATAGCAAAAAGGTCTAAACGAAGCGCTCCCTAGGGAAATCCCTGGCTCTGGCCTTCTCCATTTGTGCACTGGGCTGCAGTGGGGATCCCAGGAATGCAGGCAGTTTGGGCATTTTCAGGACAATGCATTGGCAGTGAGCTGGTTTCAGATTGGCCACTGAGGGAGCTGAGCTCACCAGCTCCAGGCTTACCTTGGGGAGTCTGTACTTTTCTCTCAGGTGAACCCTCAGACAGGCTCGCTCTGCTTTTTTCTGTGCAAATGCTGCATCTCTTTCCATCCTGGAAAGCAGAAAAAATGTTCCTTCAAGATGCTAATAAAATACAGTCTTTTACACTGAACAAGGTGCTTGGGTGCAAAAAGCTGCACACAGGAGTTATTCCCCAAAGTCATGTAACTTGTCTAAAGGCACAAGAGGAGCAATACCAGTGAAGTGATGCACTTGCAGTGCTCCAAGCTTGTCCTCAGAACAGTTCCCTTGAGTCCTGTGAATAAGGAAGGGTAAGCTAATACACTTTGTCTGGAGTTTGCACCTGTACTGCCTGTTATTGTTGACTGTAAGAACGAACAATTCCAACGAGCAGAACACAAAAATTGCCCTTATTCCTTGGTAATTCCACTGGGGCACTCAGAGCCGTGGCTGCCTGCCAGTGCTCATGCTCTACAAACATGACACTCTCTTAGTGTGACACCACACAAAAGGGCAGGGGAGTCTTTCTGGGTCAGAACATGAGTTTAGCCATCCTGGAGTCCCTTCTCCAACAGGAAACAGGAGTGGACATGTAGAGAAAAGATTTAGGAGGAGTGTAAGCATCCTGTATCAAAACTGCCCAGCTTCCAGACTCAGTGGTGCAGAGTCCTGGGGATGGACACTGGCTCTGTGTCCTTGGCTGTAACAGCCCTGGGTGGCCTCTGTCACCTGGGAATTTGCCTGGTCTTTTCTTTGTCCATTCACTGTTTCACAATGGCAATAATTTCCTATGGCAATGAATTCAAAAGCTTCCCTGTGTGGAAAAGGACTTACTTCGTTCGTGATTTTATGAAATGTTTTCACTAGATTTAAGAACACAATTTTTTGTTAGATTAATTATGTATTTATTTGCAAAATATGTCTCCCTGAAGATTTTTGATAACTTTTGTTAACATTCACCTTTCCGCCTCTCCCTTTAATTTTTTTTCCCCCAGTAGCATTTTCATGGAAATTCTATTGCAAAATTGGTCTTGTTTCAGTATAGGTACTTTGTCACATAAAAGCTACTTGCAAGATGAAATACTACTTTTCCTCTGCTTCCAAAATGAGGTTTTGGATTTCTCTGTCTCTAAAAATAAAATAACCCCCCCCAAACAAAAAAAAACCACCCCTCCCCAAACCTAAACTATGAGAAGAACCCAAAGCCAGTTTGGTTATGGGTTCAAAACTGTGCCTGAGTATAACTTCAGCAAGGCACTTGTACTCCTCTGATGTGCACTCCTGCACAGCTGAACACTGCAAAACCCAGTGAAACAGAAACATGCCCTGCCCCTGCCAGAGATCTCTGGCACAGAACCACACCAGTGGCCACTGTCCTCAGGGGATTGGGGCTCTTGAAAATGTTTCAAATGTTCCTAATCCAGTTCCTAATGTACTGTCAGTTCTCCTGCCCCGATTCCTCAGTACAGTTCAGCATGTAAAGGACACACGCACCACTGGAAAATATTAGAGAAATAATGCTTATTCCAGGCATTTCCCTGTCCCAGGAATCCTGTGTCGCTTCTCGGTTTCCATAAAGCATCTTCCTGCCAGTAGGTGGTTATTCCTTGTTTGAATATCCCTCGACAGAAGGCATACTAAAACATTCTGTGTTTTATTCCAAGCCAAATGACACCTGTTCAGGGTTTCCTGATGGAAATGTCCGATGCTAAATACAGACCTGGATACCTCGAATTCCGTCAGTCATTAACCTGTCACCTATAATCATCTTACAAGGGGGATTTACACAACCATTATGTAATTGACCATTAGAGGAACAGATGCATTTGAGCTTTAAAAGTCAATCGTTTTATTTATAATTATGCATGATTTGAACTCCTACAAGCCAGCTCCTCATTTTACTTCTGTTTTCATTTTTAAACACCACAAAGGGTAAAGATTGCATTTACAGACAAAACTGAGATTTAATCAAGTCTGCTTTATTTAGCAGGTTTTAGAAGAAATAATCATACTAAAACTCTGCTCTAGATAAATATAATCCATTTAACATAACACTCAGTACTTTTTCATATCTGCCATAATAAATGTAGGCAAAGAAATATTATGTATTGAAAGCGTACTCCACATGGAGTTCTAGGAGAAGAAAACACGTGTATTTTAGAATTAAATCCTGCACATTGGAAAATTTGTATAGATAAAGTAACACCACCTCGAAATGAGTTCAGCACATCAAGCTGTGGAGACAGCAGGGGAAGCACAGGGGGACAGTTTCAGGATGGGGATGGGGGGGCAGGAAGGGGGAAATAATATTTTATCATTTCCAGTAGGTGAACTTTTATTTTGGAAAGTCCCTTTAGCAAAGATTCATCTGCTTTAAAAAAGAGTGAAGAGCTGAATGTTTGCCTTTTCCTTGGGTTATTTTCATCTGCACAAAGCCACTAAGAATCAGCCCCACACTGATAATAAGGGAACAGGTACTCACTTCTCCTCAACCATTTGCTTTTGATATTCCTCATACTCCTCTCTGGTCATTCCTGCAGCTGCTGCTGGGTCAGAAGGAGTGCTTTCTTCTTTGCTTTCTTCCCCTCCACCTCCAAGTCCCAAATTCTTTACCTGGTTGCTCAACATACTTTTCATTAGAAAGGCCATCTTCTCAAAAAAAAAAAAAGGAGCTATAAGCAAACAACTATGAGAAAGCCAAACCAAAAATGCTTTTAAAACCAACAGTTGTAAGCAAGAGAGTTTCTACAGCCACATCAGCTCTTCAAGGGCACAGTGCTAGTGAAACGTGAATGCCAAAACCAGTTTGTCAGCCATAATCTGGATTAAAGAGTGAACTCCTTAATATCTAGAGGCAGATGGTTCAGATTACTCCAAAAAAATCATTAGATGCAGCTACCTACTTTTTATATTAATACCTTAAGCTAATTGTACACACACACAAAAATCAATGATAGTGTGCAATAGCATTTTGATGTCTTCAGTCTTGAAGCTCTCTCTCACTTTCACAGAGAGCAAAACATTCCCTGCAACACAACACCTCTGAATTAAAAACCTGCTTGACTAAAAGGCCATGGTAAAATTATAAAAATCAGGCTACTGAGTGGAAATACTTTTGTATTTACACAATAAATGGGATTTGAAAACTGGGATTCTTCATTAAGCAAAAAACCTGATGCTTTTTATCCATTAAAATTTTATCCCAGTGGACAGAGAGTACACTGAGTGGTTTTTCTTCATCCCCTTTTCATGTGGCTGGTTTGTCTCACAGACGAATGGGGCATTACTGCCACGATGCCTTTTTTCCCAAGAAAGTAATCCCCCCCAAAAGCAAATCAGATCTTCCTAATTTTGTTTCCCTTGGGCTGTCTCCATGTGGATGAGCACTGTGGTGCTGCACAGAACCCCTGCTGTTTTGAACCCTTGCTGTGGGTACAGGAGCAGTTTATCTGACTGATTCTGTGTGCTCTAATACAGCCTGGGTGCCTTTTGCTTGGGGGCTCTTCCTGTATATCCTCATCTTCCAAACTGTCCTTCCCATTATTAGACTGGCCAGGTCTATTCAGGTGAAGCTTTGCAGGATCTGCTCCCTAGGTCACAGACTATTTGGGGAAAGAAAATCACCTGCTAGGTCACAAAAGGTCATGATTTGGGGGTTTGAACATCCTCCTGTGACTGATTGCACATGCCTTAATGAAACATTCTGTAATTTTGATTATCTAAATGGTTCTCCACGCACTCTCATAATTTCACTGAGAACTGAGAGATGGGAGGATTCCAGTTTGCTTAATGCTTTAATCTATATTACAGCCTTTCTAATTAAAGCAGACATATTACTATTAAAAAAAAAAAAGGGAAAAGGCAGGATGTTCTCTAACGCTGGATTATTAGTGATTAAACAAGAAACTTTAAATTTCTTTTGGAAATTGAGTATTACTCAGAAGCATGAATTCCAAATAACAATGAAACTACTTTGATATACTACAAATACCTAGAAAGCATTTTTCTTAAAACAAAATGCATTTTTTTAATAACTGTGCATAAGTTGCAAGACTTTGTGGGCAGAATAAACTTTTGACACGTGACCAACTCCGCCCTTGATTACAAAGTAAGTGTTAGTCTCCTCCAAGGGCATGGGGAGTGTTACCTCTTAAACTCTGGGCTGTTGGTGCTCACTGAAAAGAACCTTCCCTAACTTGGGCAGATTCAATTCAAGGTTCCTCTCCTCCACTTATTAAAAAATTGCTCCTGGCTGGGGGAAAAAGGACAGAGAGGGAATTCAGCCTTGGAATGCCACTAACTACTCCCCAGGATGAGGCAGGACTAACCCCAGAGCTCTGAGCATTCAGGCTCTGAACAGAGGGTAAAGAATGCTTCAAGGACACTTGCTTGGATTTCATGGACATGCACCAAATTAAAAGAAAAAGGCTTACTAAAAATATGCATCTTTATTCAAATAAGGTTATATCTGAACTCCAAGTGTCAATTTACATTAGTCAGAAACAAATATATGAAAATGTCAGCTGTTTGAATTTAAAATAAAAAAACCAAACCAGTAGACAATTTTTCTGTTACAGTAATTGATCCATTGAGAAATGTCAAATTTTCTTCAAATAGCAAGTTACAAACCATAGCAGGTAAACTACAAACTGTAAAACAGGTGATTTACAAACCATATTGTGCATTTGACTTTTGAAAGATTCACATGTGACCATGTATTTAATATACCCTGACCAGTACAATCAGATTTTCTTGTCACTGCCAAATATTTGCTACTTATCATCCACAATTCAAATATAATTATTAGACTTGTTCTCCCTCATACTGTCAAACTGGATTCCAAGTTGTCGTCTTCTCCTCCTAGTTGTGAAATCTTACTTGATGAGAAAAGAACCACACTACCAGTGTTGAAAGAAACTTCTGGTAGCCAGCTTAACTGACAAATATTCTCAAAGTCCAAATTTGTTGCTATCACTTGGAGAACAGGCAGGATGAAATTGGAGCTGGGCAATCGGGAGCTTCCTTTAGATCCAGTGAGTGCTGAGGCAATTATGGGAGTTCCAAGGAGAGGCAACTGTGGAATGAAGCATGAAGCAGAGTTATCAGTTTTCTGGTGTTCTGCTCTGGACCACTTGCTCCCTGAACCAGAAGTTTCCCAGCTGCCCATGGGAGATGTGTCCGATCCAGCAGCAGCACAAACACGTGAGCTGAGCCTCCTACTGAAGGTATAACTGCAGGCTTCAAGTTTCCCCTAGACATGCCCAGCCTTCTCTTCTGTCTGACAAAAGAACCAGAAGGATGGGCTGCTCCAGCTTTAAAACAGAGTTATGGTTGGATAAATTCACAGTAACAAAAATCCAGGCTTTTTCCAAAGGATCCATCAGAGCTGCTCCTCATCACCTCACGTACACGCACCCACTAGCCCTGCTGTACCAGGGCCTTGCAGAGCCTGCTGGGAGAGGAGCAGTTCTGCTGGGATGTTGCACTGCTGGAAGAAGGCCTGCCATTGAAAGGAACAACACTGTACAGTTTCAGAAAAGGTTAAGAAAATAGATTTAGTTAGAAGAGTCAGGGTTGTAATAGCTTAGACTCAAGGCACCTGTAAAATATCTGCTGGTGTTGAAAGAACTGAACAGACAAATTCTGATGTGTTATTCTGGCTTCTCTGAAAGGTTTTTTTCTTTGATTTACCCATCTATCCCACAAGACTAGCCTGAGGCAGTAGTTTCTCCAATTAGTACAGTAAAATCTTCTCCAATTTCCAAATGAATCTGTAAAGCTACACCCCTTACAATATACCACATACTGCAGATGTGTTAACTGGTGTGTAGGTAGGATCGTTTGCTGGGGATAGCACAGGCATTCATTCACTGTTTGGACTCTGTATTTTAAGTAGCAAAATATATTGCATAGATATATCATCCCTCCAAACTGACAGGCACAATACTGAAGTGTTCTTCATTACAGTGAACTTGGCAGCACGTGTTGCACTCCAAGGGAGTGGACTATAGGAATGCAGTAGTAGTATGTTAGAGAACAGATAATTTTTGCAGATTCAGACAAACAAATGAATAGTTAAAAGTGAAATATTCTGATGCATTTGTGTATTTTATAGAATTTTTAAAATCCACAAAAATACCTATTCTAACTCCACACACAAAACTCAAGGACAAAGTTACCACAGGTATGTAAACAAGGCAAAATGATTTAATTTCACATTCCTAAATTTGGCTCTCTCTGCTTTTTTCTTTCTGAAGCAAATGTTCATTTGATAAGCAGTATCAAAACCACATGTTCAGTCTTATGCTTTTGATATTAAAGCAGGAATTGACACAAAATACTGGTTCTACAATAGCTCCTGGATTAACAAACATGTCTGAAGCAACACCTTGTGAAGAAATGGTTTAACACCTAATACCTGTACTTTAGAACACTTGCCATGTCCAGATTGAAATCAAAGCATCTGTATTTGATACATGAAAGACAAAAGACAGCTTTATAAAAGGAAAGACATATTCATACACTAAACATATCCTTACTAAAATCAGATTTGAAGAGGTATAAAGCAATAATCTTTGCTGGAAAAGTTCCACAAATCTCCAAACAAAATTACAGACAGACTTGAAACTACAAAAAAAGAAATCAGGCCCACAGTATACTTGAAGAAACTACTTTATCACATTTTCTCTCACTGCCTAAAACCAAAAGCCAAAATGAGAACATAAGGCTTTCTTTGCTTGTTCTGTATAATTTGTTTTTTTATGTCAACAGTCAGAGTCTTTGTGTTCACATATTAAAAAGTGTTTAAATCTGTATTTCATAAAGAGTTAGAATTAACAAAAATATTCTTATACTTTTAAATCCAAGTGGTAAACAAATAAAACGCTTATCATAAATTTTTACTCGCCAAAAAAATTACAGAAGAACGGGGGGGGGTTTGTCTTCTTTCCCCCCCTTTTTTTTTAACTGGTATGTCAGAACACTTAGTAGCACATTGTCTGCACGAATCATCCATCTGCAAATCACACTGTGAACAATCACCAAACCTTCAATTCCCTCCTCTGGAATCCTAACAAAAGCAGAGGAACAGGGCATTTGCCTTTCAGTATTGATGAGAAAGTTGGCTGAAAACACAGACCTAGACAGGGTCTGCAGTCTTCCCCCATCCAGCATTTGCTCTGCTGCTCCACAGTCTGTTTTTAGCATCAACCATTTAAATAAGAACTCATTTTGTTTAACAAAATTCAATAATTTACAATATTGACGTATATCGAACACTAGAATTTCCCTCATTTACAGAAGTGTAGAATTTTCTGTGCATACATACTGCTGTTATGTACACACAAAAGGAACAGGTCATCAAAAGAACTTTTTGGCTGCTGCTTCTTGTTGGCTCCTGAAAAAAATGCAGAAAAGAATTCAAGTACTTATAGCATAAAGCTAGCTAACTGGTTTAAATTTTCATTTATTTGAGGATTAAAAGATTCCATTCCTTATCAACAGAGACTTAAGGAAATCAAATATAAGTCCTATCACAAAAACAGGATATAATGCTTTCTATTTACAAAGACATTGGTAGCATCACTATTGTTTCAATTTTGCATCAGGCACAGAAGGAAAAAAACCCCACATTCTGGACAGAAGCCAGAAACTGAGAAAGAACATAGAAACTAATTTTTAAAAAACTTTTAGCATTTTTAAAAGCTTCTCAGTATCTGACTGGCCTACAGATCATCTCAGAAAAGGAAACACATGCAATTAAGCAGGGAAAGAATTTACTTGAAATAGGATTTCCTTTTTTCTCTGGCACAGAACATATTTATTTTCTTAGTGGATACAGACACTGAGGATCAACCACACACACACAGCTGCTGGAATTACAAGGGCATCCCAAAGAACTGGAGGGGCCCAGCCCCTGGTCTGTCCTGGAAGGCATCATTCCAGCTGATGGGCAAAGGTTACACGTAAGGAACACCCCCTGTGCACTCTGCAGAGCAGCAGACACATCATCAAAGCTGCTGCTGTCAGCACCACTGCTCTTACATCAATACTGCTCATCCTTCCCCAGGGGTAGAAAACAGCATTTGTTCTTTGCAGGGCACCACAGCTATTTTGGTCCCTGCTCCTCATTCTGATGAGTGTGTGAGGAGCAGGAGGGAAGACTCCCAAGCAATGGGACATTGTCCTTTCCACCAATGCAGATTTCATTGGAACATTAGGACTTCACAAGGGGGAGGAAGGGAACAGAAAAACCATCCTAATTAGTTTAGCTGGTGACTTGGTCAGTCCCAAGTTCTAAACTCCTTTGCCCTGCTGTCTTTGAGTACAAACATACTTACTTGTACATGATATAGCCAAT